GGAATTCTGGGAGTTGAAGTCCATCCATCTCCAAGTTCCTGAAGTTGGGGAATATAGGTGATCCTTTTGCTCTTTCCAACTCTATCATATGTGGCTCCCTGGGGAATTCTGGGAGTTGAAGTCCTCCCATGATCAAATAGCTGAGGTTGAGAAACACCAGGTGAACCTAACTGGCACGTTTTCTTGCCCCGGCTCCCCCCGCCCCGCTCTTCTCTTGCCAACCAGGCCCAGGCGTGAGGTGCCTGACTCATTTTTAAAAGCTCGAAAAGAAAACGAGTTTCTCCAGCTGCACCGAAACTTCGGTTTTCTTTTTTTTTCCCCCACCACCACCTTCCTCTGCAATCTGACGGCAGATGGCGGTTTTTAATGTGCAAGGGCGAGTCAAGCCAGGACTCCCCAAACTTCAGGGCCCTCACAGCATCCTTTGGATTCTGCAGAATTTAGTTTTTCTGCTCCAAGGAGCGCAGGATGACTTTGCTCCTCAGACGGGCAGGTGGGACGGTTTATTCTCCAAGGGAGAAATTCGCTGGCCCTCAGATCAAGGGGGAGAGGTGGCATTTGGATTGGATCTAATCCAGTGGTGGGATTCAATTTTATTTTATTTTTTTACTACCGGTTCTGTGGGCGTGGCTTGGTGGGCGCAGCTTGGTGGGCGTGGCCGGGGAAGTATCCTGCAAAATCCCCCTTCCCTCCCCACCCCACTAACCTGCTTTCCAGTTCCGTTCTCCTGTGCAGGGCAACCAGAGAAGGGCCAGCCGATCAGCTGGGACTCAATGGGAAGCAGACAAGAGATGGGGGCGGGCAGTGGTTGGTATTCATTTACGACCGGTTCTATGGGCGTGGCTGGGTGGGCGTGGCAGGGGAAGAATACTGCAAAATCCCCATTTCCCACTAACCTGCTTTCCAGCTCCGTTCTCCTGTGCAGGGCAACCAAAGGAGACCCAGCCGATCAGCTGGGACTCAATGGGAGGCGGAGAAGAGATGGGGTCGGCGGGGCCAGTCAGAGGCGGGATTGGCCGGTTCTCCGAACTGCTTAAAATTTCCGCTACCGGTTCTCTAGAACCGGTCAGAACCGGCTGAATCCTACCTTTGGTCTAATCTCAATCTGCAGATCTGGGACTCGGCAACGGAGAACCTGGATCCATTGGTCCACAGTTGGTCTCTGTTTGGTTGCTTCAGATGCACGCAGGGATTATCCGAAGGATGTAACTAGAGGCCCACCTGGAATCCGTTTTATGAAAGGGGCCTTCCGGGTTTCATGAGCGGGATTCTCTTCCTTTAATTAATATGGGGGGATGGTTGTAACGTCCGATTCGTGGAGTGGCGCCCTCATTTCTGCGTAGCTGAAGAAAGGACCCCCCCATCTTACAAAAATAAAATAAAATAGGCCTTCTTCTTCCCCAATATAAATTGCACTTGTGAATACGCAACTTGCTGGAGGATTGACATTCCTCGGTAGGGACGTTACAAGCAGATCTCGCCTAGGCCTCTTTTTCTAGCTTAGCTTATCTTGAGACGCTGTTCTTTCTCACATCCCCTTCGCTTAATCCTCGGCTCAGAGCACATTTGCCCTTTCTGATCCCACGGGCAGAATGCAAGGGGTTGGTTTTTTGTTTTTAAGCAGGATGGAGAAAAGGGTGAAGACTAGAAACTTTGGTTCTTTTATTCCTTTTTTTTTTTAAAAAAAAAGGAAAATGCACGGGCCTTTGGGAGACAGACAGACAGAAAGAAGAAAGAGGGAGAAAAGAAAGAAAAGAGAGAGAGAGAGAAAGGAGAGGGAGAAAGAAAAGGAATGAAAGAAAGAGGAAAAAGAGAAAAGAGAAAGAGGAAAGAGAAAAAGGAGAGAAACGAAGGAAAGAAAGAAAAAGGACAGATAGAGAAAGAAAACGGAAGGAAGAAAAGGAAGGAAAAGAAGGAAAGAAAGAAAAGAAGAGAAGAAATTAAAGACCGAGTTGCATTTTTCTCATCAGGGCTGCCAGCGCAAACTATGCTGCCAGCAGGGACCTTCCTGGGATCTCTTTCTGTCTGTCTGTCTGTGCAGAGGAGCCCTGTGTGCGTTTGTGCCTCTGTGTGTGTGTGTGTCTGTGTGTTTGCTTTCCGTCTCCTCCTCCCCACCCCTCTTTCAAAATATATCAGGCTGGTGTAAGCTTATATCGTCCCTTGCTGGCATCTGCCTTGTCCACGCTCCAGCGGGGCTTCTGTTTCACTCCTGACGCAGGTTGACACCACGAGGGGTGGGGTGGGGAGGGGAGTGGGTGGGGGAGCCGAGCACCCAGGATTGGGGAGCGTGATCGTGTGGGGGCCCATCCAGGAAAGTTCCCTGGCTACCCAGCCACACAAACAAAACATTTTCCTACCACAAGGGAGTGGGGGGGGGGGGAAGCGGGAAAGATCTTTTATTTTTAAATCTCTGGGTCTTGGCTTTTGCCAAGAGACCTGCTTTTTCCTGTCTCTCCCCCCACCCCACAGACACACACACACACACTGCCCACAAGGCCCAGTTCTTTCAGACTGGGAGCCCCAAGGAGGGCCAGGCCCCACTTCCTTTAAGCCTCAGCTGGAAGCTCCTGGAAGAAGGGGGGCAATACCCCCATCCGAAAGGTAACAAACAGAGGGGACCCCCCCCCAAAAAATGTACGAATACCTATCGGAGGATACAAGCCGTCCTAGGGGAAGGAAGGATAAAGATGGCCACCTCGCCCACTGAGGGTTTATATAAGCCGTCCATAGATGAGAAATGATCACGAAATTATCCCTAATAAATTACCAGGCGTTTTCCATCTCTTGCACCTGTTATGCAAACTCTCTGGGTGTTTGGCTTCCTCCCTCCCTCCTCCTCTCCCTCCCTCCCTCTTTTCCTTTACCTTTGCTCCTCCTTCCCTCCCTCTTTTCCTTTACCTTCCCTCCTTCCTCCCTCCTCCTCTCCTTCCCTACCTCCCTTTTTCCTTCATCATTCCTCCTTCCCTCCCTTTTCTCTTTTACCTTTCCTTCTCCTTCCCTTCCTCCTTTCCTTTAGCTACCCTTCTTCCTCCCTCCTCCTCTCCTTCCCTTTTTCCTTTACCTTCCCTCCTTCCCTTTTTCTTTTACTTTTCATCCTTTGTCCTTCCCTCCGTCCTTTTCCTTCTCCTTCCCTCCCTCTTTTCCTTTACCTACCCTTCTTCCTCCTTCCCTCCCTTTTTCTTTTACTCTTCCTCCTTCCCTTCCTTTTCCTTTCCTTCCCTCCCTTTTTCTTTTACTTTTCCTTCTTCCTCCTTCCCTTCCTCCTTTTCCTTTCCTTCTCCTTCCCTCCCTCTTTTCCTTTACCTGCCCTTCTTCCTTTACCTTCCCTCCTTCCTTTTTCCTTTTCCTTCTCCTTCCCTCTCTCTTTTCCTTTACCTACCCTTCTTCCTCCCTCCTACCCTTTTCCCTTTACCTTCCCTCCTTCCTCCTTCCCTTCCTCCTTTTCCTTTCCTTCTCCTTCCCTCCTTTTCCTTTACTTGCCCTTCTTCCTCCCTCCTTCCTTCCCTCCCCCCCTTTTTCCTTCCCTTCCCTTCTTTCCTCCCTCCCTTTTTTCTTTTTCTTCCCTCCCTCCCGTTTTTAAACCCCTGCCCGGGTTGCACCCATAGCCAAACGGGGAAGGGGTGCGTGGGTGGGGGAGAACCTTAAAGAGCAACCAGCCTTCGAATTAGAGCAGGGAGACCCTCAAAGGAGAAACTGTCCACCCTCTTCGTCATTGAGGGGTGGGCCATCGCCCCCC